ACCTATTGTACTTATTGTTAAGTTACCACTACCTGGAGAGCCTTTAATTTTTTCCTTCATGGAGTTTGAAGTTCAAATTCAGGAATAAAGCAGAAGTCAAAATGGCAAATATATTTTCTATATAGCAAGCTAATGGATCTAACGAGGAAAAAATGTGTTTCTTTCTAAAGCTTGTCAGATAAAAGGAATTTTATATGCTTTGTCTTTTGCCTTGCTTTCTTTTTTCGCTCCAGAAGGCCATTATTCCAACATTTCAGAAATACACAATGTTTGTACCCAGCTAGCAGCGTGTGCTGGATTTGTGATGAGCGCTTCATGGGGGTCATGACAATCCCATTGATGGCCTGTGTAGCCTGGATTAGACCTTAAAGGCAGAATTATAATAATCTGGCCTTCAAAACTGAAATTCAGTTGAAGTAAATAAAAATCACTATTGTGCTTTTGAATTTCAGCCTCTGACTCAGTGCATTAGTGAAAGGGAAATTGTGTTTGAAGTGGTCAGCACACAGCTGCTGGCCGTGTGGGCTGCAGTTCTTGTAGAATTCGAGACGTACTGTCATACCTCGACGTGAAAGCAGTTAAGAAGTTAAAAAATACCCAATTTTCAGTGGTCACTCATCCTCTGCAGAGTGAGGATGTCAGCAGAGAAGTAGATGTGCAAGGGGAATTTGGCAAAATTGAACATGACTTTTCCAATGTCTAGTTGCCCGCTAGCGATAATCCACCTAGCACCAGTGTCAAGGGCTCTGGTTACCAGGGTGTAGGAAATTCAGGGAAATGTGAAAGAGCTTTAGAGAAAGAGCTTTGAGTTTGTAGAGGGCCGAGAGCAGGCACAAATATTTTGGCATTCTGGCCCAGCTGAAGAGTTCAGTGGTGCTAACTTGGTCATGAGTGTGAGGTCTAGGAGAACTATCCCATGCAGGCTAGAGTCTTAATGGGCCATCGATGGGTGAAAGGCTGAGGCTCTCAGCTTGATTTAAGGAAGGGTTTCATTAAACAGCCTGCTCAAGACCATGCAGGAACTGGGTAGTAATGGCCAACACATGAGGACAAGTGAACTGGCTTAAATCTTAGGTCATCTGGAGTTTTTAGCTTTGTTTGAGGTTAGTGGCTTGGCAGTAGCAGGTCTGACCTGCCATTGCATCACTGCTGCTTTAGGGTTATGTAGTTCCACTAATGTAGCTGGAGTTATAGCCTAGTAGCTACTGGTAGTCTTTGGAGAATATTGACATTTGTAACTGTTTAATAAATCATTAAGAGTGCTTTCAGCGTATGTGAGGGCGTGCACATTAAAAAAAAAAAAAAAAGGCAATTGAGAGACTCCTGTGATATATATAGAGAGGAACGTGCAGTCACAAATTATAATAATGTATAAAGGTCTTTTACTCCTTAGAATGGAAGAGTCAACTTAATTAGTTGCATGTGCTTTAATGATGGGGATTGACTCAGTTTGAAGGAAACGCACCGACTGTGCACATCAAAGTTAAAAACACAGCAGTTTAGGATGAATGAAGAAATTGAGAAATTATTAATTTTGATGATAAGAGAGAAGAAACCCAAAGATTTCAAATGTTTCCTAGCACTGCATGCTCGTTGGGCAGCAAGATGGGGCTGCAGGGCCATTGCCCAGACAAAGGCATCTACTGCTGATCTGGGTGCCCCGATATGACCCAGGCATTGTACCCACCTGGCAGATATGGCCCAGGGCGTGTGGGAAACTGCTGCCCTTCTGCTGCGGCAGCCGTGTGCCTGTGGCCTCTCACATGGCAGGAGATGCTTCTGTTTAGGGAGTTAGTGCGCTTAGCCCTAAGTACGTAGCATTGTGCTCGCTGGCATCAGTAATACACAGTCACCTGAAGCACAACAGGAGCTCACAGCGATGTTTTCAGGGAGTAATTGCAGCAATCATGGACAGTTACCTAGTTTTAAACATGGGAGTTATTTTGAGATGAATCGAGCCTTAAAATCTGAGCAGGATGGAGTGTCAAAGCTACCCAGCTCCGGTGTAAAGTTGCAGTGGGTGGTTGTTTTTGTAATGACCTCAAATCCATGAATTCATTCTAACATTTGCCTTTTTATACATTTGTAGTTAAATATAACTTGAATGTTGTCCTAATTACATTCTCATGTTAATTTAGCTCTGATTCAGAATTTCTATCATTATTCTTTGTAGAATTATTTTGAAATGATGGAAAGTTCAGCAAAGATACTCCATCGTATGATTATACCTTTGAATTATTTATCGCGTTCAAAGAGAGAAATGCGGTTAAAACCTAGTTTGAGTTGTAAATGAGTCTTGGTAACACAGTGAGGAAGTGGCAGCTCTTTTCATGGAGCGACGTGGCGCAGGGACGCCGCATTTGGGGCCTGCGTTAGTGCATGGGGCCTTGTGTAAACCAAGGGCCTCATGATGAAGCAAGAAAAAAGTCATGGTACCAACTGGAAGTGTACCCTAAGCAGGTAAGACTGTGGAAGAGAGGGTAGAGGTGGAAGCAACCTGCTCTGGTGAAAAAGCAACTTTGTGACAGAGTTGAGGGAAAGCCCATGTCCTGACCCCAGTGTCACCCACGCTCCCTCTGCTTTGATGTGGGAACAGAAGCCACCACGAGCAGCTCTTAGCTGGGATTTTTCACAGTGGCAAGTGGTGTGGTGCTAATGCGAGGTTGTAGCAACCATGATTTCTGCAGAATTTCGCTCATGTGGCTGCGGCCCTGAGCCTGCTGGCAAGCGGCACACGAGCCAGGGAGGAACTGCTGGGGAAAAGCTATAGGTGAGGAGAGGAAACTTGCCGTAATGTAAGCAGCCGTTTTGCTAGAGGTAAGTGAGGGGAAATTCTTCATTTATAAATGGTTCATTGACCCATGATAATAAAGCAGTGCTGCAGAAGAAGGATAATTATCTACTTAAGTATCGGGTGCCCTAAGGGTAAAAGCTTCTCTTCTCTCCTTTGAAAAATGAACTCGGATTAAACAAATGTCCTTTTTCCTGTTTTACTGTTGACACGGATTTCCTTTTTATGAGGAAAATTAATTAGTTTTTTTTCTATTCCTTTATTCCTGCTATGGAAATCAGGTCTGCCGAGCAAGTTTAGAGCTTTTCCCCGGGGCCCTGAGCTCAGCCAGCAGCCTCCTTCACAGTGGGGCTTTGCACCGTGCACTGCAAAGGCACAAACACATTTTGCAGCAGCTTTATTATGCCCGCAAGCTGCCAAGAGCCACAGCCTTGTACAACTCAAAACCCCCAAAACCACACAGTTTTCTGCCAGTCCAGCATTGGTTTATTGCCTACTGCCTATTTACTAAAGAAATATCAATACATAATTCTTCTTAAAAATCTTAAAATTCTTTTTCTTTTAATACTGCAGGGGTAAAAATTGAGCAGTGGAGGCACAGATAATGCTGTGCTAAACAAATAAAGGGCAGATTTTTCAAAGCAGCTTAACAGTAAAACTGGAGCCAGGCTTCTCCTGCTCTGTTGTGAGTGAAGAGAGCTGCTAGCTGTGAAGTTCTTTGGAAAAATCTGCTCCAGGTTAAGCAAATATCCATCGCAATGTTGTCCATCTTCATCTGGACCTTGAAAAATGTTCAAAACCTGCCCCTACAGGTTTGCTTCCAGCAAATGTCTGTGTTTTTCCACCAGTCAGAAATATAAATGTGATTGCTAGGATAAATTTGGGGACGGGGAACATATTGCTTCTTGGTTTATGGAAATAAATCATGTTTTGCATGTAATAGTCTGTATTTCAAATATCTTTGGGTTCTTGAAAATCGGGTTGATAGAACCTTGGTGAGAACCTGTTAACTACAGAGTATCCCCTAGGTACATCTCCTAGCCTATGGAGAATTTCTTCTGAATACCTGCAGGCTTTGCAATGCCGTAAAAATAAATACGACTGTAATACAATGCCATGGAGCTTAACTTTCTTCAAATAGCCCTTTGTGCGCTTATTTTAATATTGAAAGAATAAGAAGCTGTTAATTTTCATAGCCTTTGGATCTGAAAGTTCAAGTGGTGGTAGAGGTGATATTTAAGGGCTTTATTCTGCAAACATAATACAAGTCAGAAGAAAAAAAAAGTCCCAACCGCAGAGAATTGAGATGAGAGCCAAGTCCCAAGTGCTTGTTGGATTTACACAACTGAGACTCTACTAAGAATTCGGGACCTTATTAGTAGTGTTACAAAATTGGCTTTTGCCCGAGGAATCATAGCAATCATTTATTGCTGTGAACTCAATAGGCCAGGTGACGGTGAATAGTGTGTGTGTCCTTCCATAGTTTACTTTATAGCTTCATCTCACTGACTCATGAAGCACTCTTATCAAGGTAGAAGAGAATCAAAGTGTATTTGTAGTGTTGGGAACAGAGTTTGGAAGGAAAGAGTTGTCATTACTTCTCTGTGTTTCTAAAACCAGTTTCTAAAAATGGGTATTTATAATTGGTGAGTGCTCCTAGTGAATGGTAATTGCTGTAATATAGGAATATGTGACCTGCTATTATCAGCAAAGTGCTGGATATTGAAATGTAATTGCCTAAAGTTAGAAGATCAAGACTTTCAAAAATATGGACCAAGTATATGAAAAAGCATTGCTGTCACAGATCCCTGGCCCCAAACCGCCCTGAAATCCTTCAGTCTTCTCTAACTTTGAGGTCTGAGATCCCAACATCTGTCTCCATGAAGGTAAAAATGATAACTTTGAATTTGTGAAAATTTAGAATGCTTTCCTCAAGATGTCTCCATATTAGAGAGGTAGGTGACCTCATTTTAGTCATTTCATCCACGTCCAAAAGGTTTGAGGAAACTGGGAAGGGTTACGAGTAAAGCATCATCTGATCTGTTGCATTCAGCTTTGTGTTTTGGTTGTTCTTGCTGTAATCCACAGGGAAAGACGAGTTCAGAGGGACTTAAAAGGGGACTAGAAGGAGGTTGTGGGTGAGGAGTGGGGCATTTAACCTTCTGGGTCACTCCAATTTGCATTTGTGCCTTGACGGTACCAACCTCAGATGTCCTTGTGTGCCCACTGCGGCCCGTGGAGCGTTTCCGTGACCTGCGTCCCGACGAAGTGGCTGACTTATTTCACACAGTGCAGAGGGTTGGCGATGTGGTGGAGAAACACTTCTGTGGCACCTCGCTCACCATTTCCGTGCAGGTTTGTCAACTGGGCAAGGGTTTAGCAATCTTCCAACCTTCCTCCCGTATCCAATGACAAAAGGGCATCCCCATTTTAAGGGGGAATATATATGTAATATAATTGCTTTACATAATGCATAGCAGTCTGACAGATTTGTCATTGGAGAAAATGAACAGGCAAAAAAAAACTCAGCACAGAAGTTTGGATAATTAATAACTGCAAAACTTTCCAGGCTAAGCCTGGAAACACTCCCAAGCGCAGTGTTTATCGGCGAGTGTTTCAGTAACTACTGCACCACCGAGGAAATGTCTGCAGGGTTGACCTTCCAGGGAAGGCAGCCACATTTCCACATTCAGCAGGTAACCCACTGCTTTCAAGGCAAGGAGATAATTCCTCTTTGCATCTATTGCTGCGTAACCAAAGAGACATAACCGTGTAAATATGTTATCCGGTCTGACCTTTCAGTCATACCTGCTGCTTTTATACTGCTTTTTTAGCAGAGCTCAGTGAAGAGCTGTGTTTAAAGCAGATTGGGAGACTAAGCCCATTTTATTAGAATAAGACTTTAAGTAAGCATGCTTTGATTAAAGCATCATTTACATCTCTGATTTTATATTCATAAAGATTAGAAACTTATTGTGAGCTATTGAAAAACACAGTGTGGAAGAATGAAAAATAACAACCATATTTTTTGTTTTATTTCTAAGGTACATTTTCTTACTTTGCCTTGGCCTGATATGAAAAGGCACCTACTCCACAAGCTCTGTGTTGAATGGTCCCCAGGAGAATATGCTAAGTTAACATAGAATGAAATTGGATGTAAATTATTAATGAGTGATATTTCTGAGTCTCCATGGGATCCTTGTTAGTTCCTCTAACTTAAGACTTTTCTTTCTGCTTACAGGATGGCCCTGAAGCTGGTCAAACGGTGAAGGTGAGTGCTTGTAATGAAGGACACAAATCAAGAGGCAATTATAAGAACTAATAAAAGAAGGAAACTAGTCATCTGTAGAGCATTGCAGTATTGTTATTTTATCCTTGAGAACAGAAAAATCCCGATTGTGCTATTATTGTAAATACTTTTTATTGAAATTTCATGGGATGATGTTTACGTTCCTTCTTTTTCCTAGACAAAAGTTTTCAATCACAAAAATCACTTTTCTAAGCTGCTGGCTTTATTTATGCAGGGAAAGCTGTAGGAGAGCGGCATCTGGTTAAGTTTTTGGTTTGTTTTATGGAGAAAATATTGCCATTCCATTGATAATCTCTTTGTTTGTCTTTTTATTGCCTAATGAGTCATAGCTAATTGTAGGAGCAGTTAAACACAACCACATTTTAAAAATACACCTTTTGTCTGGGCTTTCTCTCTACAAATTCATGTCACATTCTTGTTACCAAAGTTCAAATGTAATGGAGCCCAGTGAAGCCTAAAAACAGATTTTAAGAGTACTTCTGAAACAGACGAGGGGAGAAGGATTTATGGTTTTACTCTCTGCTTTAGTAATAATATAGATAGCATCCAAGATGATTCTCCAGCCATGTTTCACTGCCTATTAACGCAAATGGCTGTGTAGTTAGATTATTTACCTGAATATTAGATAAAAGCTATTTTTTACATTTGGAATCAAAGGAAAGTCAAATATAGATATGGGTTAGCACTTCGTAAAATCATATTGGATGGCTCAGGGAAGCTGCTTGGGCTGTTTGAGATTACTGTAACAACCAAGTGATGGCATGTGGGAGCATTTTACTTCTTTCCAATTTGCTATATTGACCTTACTTTTCATTGTTGCAACTCCTTGTTGCTTACTTTGAATATTTAGCAGAGAGCTGATAGGAAGAGGGGAGAAGAAATCAGAAAACTAGAAAGGTTTAGGAAGATGAGGAGTAAGGGAGGAGGGTAACACAATTGCAGTGCTGCAACAAAATTGACTCTTCAGCTCTTGAGTTACCATGCACTGGGGTGGGCTTTAGCAGGAATGCCTGAAAAGAAGTAAAGTCTTCCGGTTAAAATACTTTCTTAAATAAGTTTTGTCTTGTTTTACCAAGACGTCTCAGAAGTTCTTTTGCTGTTTTGAACAGAATTTATTTTCTCTCTGAAGAAAAGTTATATAGAGATATTTATATTAAAAAGTGAGAAAAGTGCTTCTGTGGATGAGCAGAACCAGACATAAATGCTCTATGTCCTGTTGAATGGTGAACCGTAACAAATGCTTGTGTAGCTTAAAAAGGGCAAGAAGTTCTGTATAGTTTTGTACTCAAACTTGAGAAAAATGGCATTAAATGTTAGCTTATCTGGTTAATTGCTAAATGGTAGACACCCTTAGTGGCCTCTTCTCACACTTTTAATAAGTAAAGACCCACCGTTAAAGCTGCGAACCCCTAGACTCTGTGATAAAGAGTGTGTATTCATAAATCAGAGGTTAGCACTTTGCATTTTTCTACTTTTCTGCATCATTGGGCAACAGTGTAATTTATCATCATCACTCTGGGATGTTTATCATCCGAAAATGCCAACAACTATTTTCTTCAAAGAACTTAGAGCTTTCAAAACTTGCACTGGGGAAGAAATTACTGTGATCAAGATATCTGTTAAAGTGAACAACAAGGAGGGTACATAAATAGCGAGTTGTATTTAAATTGCTTTGAGTAAGAAAATGTTTAAAACCACCTATGTGATCTACAAATAATTTATGAGCCTTAAATTCCAGGTCTCATGTATTTCTCTAAGTGTTTCTTTCCTCATGTATAAGCATGCACAATCATCCAGTCTTCCTCTAAGGGACCTTTTAATTAAAATTTCTGGAACAGACTAAACATTAGAAAAAGCTCTCTAATAATAAGAATAGCTAAGCATCACAATAAATATCCAAGGGAGTTTGTGGAATGGCTGTTTCAATAGGGTAGGCGAGCGTATGTCAGGAGCTAATTAGGTATAGCTCGTCTTGCTCTGAGCAGGGACACAGACCAGATGGCTTCCAGAGTCTCTTCTTTTTCTATGTTGTATGATTCTGTGTGCATATATACATTTAGGCTGCTACATAAGGAATTACAGGAAGGCAGAAGAGTAGTGGCTGTTAAGCCGCTTAGTGCAGAACTTGCCTGCAACATGTGAAGAGTTACCAGCCTGAACAAAAACAAAAACTGTTTGAGAACTGCTATCTGCATGTGCCAAGGAAAGTCTATTTTCTGCTCAACAAGAACTATAGCCCATATGTAAGACAGATCTTGGACCTCAGCCTGGGTATGAGTGTCAGGTCTTTATTTGCTATGGAGATATCAGAAAATATATGTGCAGTGTATATACCAGGTATAAAAGAGATTATTCTGGTGTAGTATTTGATAGAAATCAATTATAAGATGTATGTCAGGCTACATGTATTTTGTGCTGCTCTGAAACCTGCTGGTGTGTGCAGGTTTCTGTCAAGTGTATCATATATTGCAATGTGGGGATACGTTGGCAGTGCCTTGTAGCACTGTAGGACTCAAATCTTCTCAGTTTCCTGACAGGAGGCTGTTTATCCTCTTAACACATAACTCCATTATGGCTCCGTCGCTTCTGTCCCCCTTGGATCCAAGTTAGCAGAGGCAGAGAATGGAGACGTAGGGAGACTCACGGTGATCCTTGTCAATCTGCCTGTTACTGGTGTGTGTCTTTCCATTGGATGAGTCTTTGGAAGAAACTGTACTTTTAGCTGCCCTCAGCTCACCATTGGTCTGGAGCTGTACCCAAAGGCTGGCGCACGCTGGGGTGTATGGCCTGAGCTCCTTGCACTTGCTCTGAGTAGTGCGTCAGCAGCAAAAGCATCTTCCCGCACATTCAACACATTTGTAATATTTTTCTTCTTTCCCTTTGTGAAAGGGAAGACCTGGTTTGTGATCCTCTCTTAGAGAATATTTATCTCTGCAATTCTGAGCTTTATTTTTCTTGGAGCATGTAAAACCCACAGTGTTCTTGTGCTGGAACTGGTGGGTGCTGATGCTGTCCCAGAATGCCTTAAATATCCAGACAATTTCATGGATCAGGAAAATCATTAAGATGCAGGGCTGTTAATGCTGTGTCAAGAGTGACGTTTCAAGATGTTCCCCAGTGTATTTTATAGCCTCCTTCCCCACATCAAGTCAGCAAACGCTCTTGCTGCCTGGGTGGATGTATAGCATATTGTCGAATAAACTCTCTGCTTTACCTTTTATGTGAGATTCAATCACAAGAAACTCCACGCGCTCTGTGCTCCATAAAGGCTAAACAAATCAAGCTGGCAGGAGCATGATACAACTAATTTATCTGTAGAGACAAGATAATATTGCACAGCAAGTGTCCATTGCACAAAACGCATACAAACACATAGCTTATTTTGCAGCGGTGTCGAAGTCCCAGGCAGCCCAGCACCTGCACTGTTGTTCCTGAGTAGCTGCCACTTTGCCAGTCACGGGTTCTCCCAAATAAATGAGGCTGAGGGTGGCAGTAGATGTGCAGAAACTTATTTTCTATGTCACACGTTCCACTAATTATTTTACACTGAAAAGATTGCCTCACTTATTTTTTGATGTGCCTGTTTTTCTTTCCCAGATGGGTTTTTAATGCTATGTTAAATCAATCCACCTGGCTTGCATTCTTTAGAAACCTTAACCTGAACTGAGGAAGTCTAGGGCTTGTTTAAGCTCACAGCAGACTTCACTTTCATATTGTTTGTCTACCTGTCCCTGTTGAGCTGGACTACTGGACTTCAGGTTTGAATCTTCAAATTTAGTGCAATCACATTGCAGACTGATTGCATCAGAAGGATTAAACTTCCTAACAGCGGTACTTTTGATGCCTCAGCCTGCTTTCCCTGCAATCTGGCAGATGTGAATCCTTATTTAATAGAGTATTGGAAGCCACCTTTTGTTCTTAAAAAAAAAAAAAAAAAAAAAAAAGTGGCATCAGAGAGAAAAGCAAAAATTGTACTTGTCTCTAAAACAATTTAAAATTTTAAGTAGAAAAAAGGGGGAAAAGTAACAGGTGTTTGAAAACAAGCACTGTAGTGAAGCCAGTGAACAAAAGGTCTTTTTTGCTTCACTGTGGAGAACTATGAGTCTCTTGCAGGCTTGTGGGATGCCCAAAAAAAAAAATGACTTGAAGAAGCGCAGTAGTCTCTCTCAATTGCTTTGAGAAACACAGTAATAGTATTTGGTTGGAAAGTACATAATGTTGTGGGTAGGTGCTGCAAAGGCAGTAGCTTCAAGACTGCTGTGCCTGTTTCCTGCTCATAATTTTTTTTTTTCTATTTTCATCCACCCACTTAGACTGGGGTATTTTTGGCAGGGGGATGTGATGCATCCATTCAGAAGTAGGACTATCCTGCCCCTTACGGAGATGGGGCAGCCAGGGAGCACACGGTTTTGCACACAAGAAGCCTTTTGTTAGCCCTTAGTTTTCTGCTCACTCTAATGATTCTTGCCCTTCCCTTCAAGGCCCTCTCTAAATCTGCCTCGTGTTGGTCTAATTCTCCTTTCGCTATTTTAGCAAAACCTGTGCTTCCTGCGGTGCTTTCAGAAGGAATTAGGAATGATGACTAACTTCAAAAACAACAACAAAACAAAAAACCCACCACAGATTAAAATTTAAGTGGCTCAATTAAGAATGATTTTTGGACTTTGTGAGAGTCCCCATTTCCTCTACTCTTCCTCAAGTTCTTGCTCCTGGTCATACCATGTAACATTTGGTTTCTCACTGAAATGTAAACTTCCCAGGAAAGGCAAAATATGGATTCTTATTTGCAGTGCCCATAGCCAGAAGAGGCTCCAAATAGATCTTTAGCCTCTATGTTAATACATATAATCTGCAAGACACTGAGTGAAAACACTTAAGTCTCTAAAGATTCCCACAGCTTGTACAGATTACTTCCTGTAATTAAAACATGGTAGCGGATGAGAAAAGCAAGAGGCCTTTTT